TGTTTTGTTTTGATATATAAGTTGTTCGGGTATTTTCATCTAAAAAAAGCGACATTAATTTCTTGACGACCTAATAATATTGTTGTCAGTCACCACAGTACTTCAACTATATTTTATTGGCTTATCATTTATAATTATTACCAGTAATTCTTGTTGTAGAATCAGTTACCACTATATTAAAAATATGTTGTTGATATGAAGAAGTCAATACAAGAGTCTTAAGTATTTAAGTCTTAAGTGCCTTAAGTCACTTTCAAATATTAAATATTCTTTCTTCAAGAGTTGCTACTACAAGTAAGTGTTGTTATGTAGCAGCTGCTACTCTAACACAAGTCAGTTTGTCTTTACTGTTACACTTTGAGTGTTGTTATTCTTAAACAAGAAGACATTTTTAGACAGTTTTGTAATAATTAGTGTGCTGATAACAAGTTTTAATATTAAAGTTTTTACTGTTTAATAGTACATGACATATACAGGTAAACGTTGAACTACCATTTCGTAACATTTTCATAGAAGTGAATACAATAAACTGTTGCAGGTGGTAAAGTAGAACATGTATTGTCAAGTTTTGTTTTTGGTTATGTTTTAACTTCTGTTTGTGGATGGAAAAGAATATCACGATGAAAGCTCAAACTAAATATCCTGTTCAATTTGAATGACAATTCTCTCCAGTCCTATCATCTATAGATTCTATGGGATGATATCTCTGTGCCCAGTTTTTTACAATATTCACTTCTGCATTAGTTTATTAGTTAGTAAAACTTAAAACCTTTTCTATGTGTAATTGTCATAGGCCCAACAAATCACTGAACTGGAGGGGGTTAATGCCAGCATAGCTTTTGATACGGCGCCAACTGTTTCATTAGAAGAAATGATGGGTGGACAAACATCAGCTACATCACTAGCTAGTTATGATGAGATGGCCTTGAGTTCTGGGGCTTTCCGAGTCCTTCGAACTATGATAAGTAGCTGGATGCGAGATGTGGCGATTTATAGAAACATTTTTGCCGACTTTCAGCTCATTCATTTCTACAGGTATTGTGTATGAGTGAATGAATTAACTACTTACACTAACCACGGCTTAGTTTCTACAGGTATTGTGTATGAGTGTATGAACTAACTATTTACACTAACCACGGCTTAGTTTCTACAGGTGCGACAACTTGTCATGTTTATAACCAACAGAACTAGATGATTCTGGTGATAATTTGTTTCAAATATCTACTTGTGAAATCAGTCATTTCACAAGTAGATATTTATGGTATAGACTCCAAAGAATAACAGAAGTTTTTAAACATATTTATAACAGAGTTAGAAAACCAGGTAAACTATAATAGTTTCGAGACATTATATTTTAGTGCCCGACATATTTTGTGTGTTCTAAAATATTTGAAAGCAATATGAATTATTATTTGGATAATGAACACAGACAGTAAAAAGAAGGCTTACAAAGGCAGACATCAAAGTGCAAACTTGCCTAAGGCTAAGGTAAGTGTTAAACTTCTTGCTTCTTATATATAATTTTATTTATTGTAACATATCTTAAAAAAAAAACAGTAGCCACAATGTAAAAATTAGAAACTTAATAGGTTATACAAGGAAACTTAAATGAAAAAAAAATATATAAAAATTTCATGATCATTCCTTGTGAAACACACAAGGAACATGCCTAAACTTTCTACATTTCTGCTGGGTTATTATCTGTTTGTCACAATAGTCATACACATTTCAAAGAGCCAAAAATAATAAAATTAAATAAAAACAGTTGCAAAAAGTTAAGAGACCTAAATATCTTATAATATATAAATAAATAATTGTAATTATCTGTTATAATCTGTAATCATTCTAGAAAAAATATATATATTTTTTGTTCCATATTTTTAACTTTTGGTAGAGACAATTTTGTTAGTGTTAGGGTAGAGAAAATAATAGATAAAGCTTTATCAGATGTTTTGTTTTTTGTTTTAAATATGCACAAAGCTACACAAGGGCTATCTGTGCTCTGCCCACCACGGGTATCGAAACCCAGTTTCTAGCGTTGTAAGTCCACAGACATACCGTTGTGCCACTGGGGGGCGCTTTATTAGATAAAATTTTTGATATTTTTTTAGGAGGTTCTAGAAGTTATACAAATGAAATATCAAGGTGAAATATCATCAATTCACAGAAAACCTTTAGAAAAGATACTTTATTAAAAAAATATAATTTTTTGTTTAAAACAGAATTATAATGTTTACCACAAGTTTGCCAAATTTCGAGATATTCAAGTAAGCACATCCAGTGTTATAGTATGTATAGTTTCATGGTGGGTGAAAGATCAGTCAAAATGACAGATCCTGTATACAGAGAATTAATAGCACTATTGTAGGCCTAAATTTATAAATTTTCAATACGTATACAAGAAGATTTTATAATCTGATATCCCACTTAAATCTTACTTCTTCTTCAGAATCAGCCCCATCGTCTTCATCCTCAGCATCTTCATCTAATGATAAAGTTTTTGGTTTCTGGTCCTCTGTTTCAGATTTACCCTTTATACCTCCATAGTTGGCCTATAAAAACAAACCAAAAACGAACTGGAAATCTTGTATGAAATCACGTAATGTGAAGTTATAAGGACAAAAATCCTAGGTATTTTAAGTTAGACATTTCATATCACTTCGTGTTTTTATGACTTGGCAAGCTGTTCGTATAACTTCACTTTACACATTTTCTTATTGAATGCTACTGTAAATCGCATCATTAATACTAACAACATTTTTCATATAAAATTAACCATCAGAACGTTTATATTTCTTATAATTTATTAAACATGTTAAAATAAAAGTAAAATGAAACTTCATCCTTAAGACTAACTTCCTGTTAAAAACTGAAACGCTTCACAGAACTCTACATAAGATAATGACTTTGTTTACACATTTTTAACAGTTCAATAAAAATTATTTCACTAAAGGTTCGACTCACAGGATCCAGCCATAAAAGATACTTCCAACATTCCTGGAGGGTCATATCAAGGCCATGGAACAATTCTTTATTTTTGATTTTCCCCAAAATATAATCGATATAAGCTATGGCATCTCCCACTTCATGGCGTTTGGTGCACAGAACCATGTGATTGTTGTTGGCATAGATAATGAGTGACCCGAGACGTTGGAGCTCTGCCACAAGCTGAAAATAGTATTCAACAAAATCATGTGATTGTTGTTTCTAATGTAAAGATATGGTCAGGTTAAGTGTTTATGAAACCCTTGTTGTTAAAATTTCAAGTTAAGCTCAAAGAAAACTGCAGTCTCATGCACTGTCATGTTTTAAATTATAAAATAAAAACAATGTATGAATAAAAAACGCATATTTCACTTCTGTTTACCTGCATAAAGAGTTTCTTCATTAACATATGAAGTATTCGTTTCAAGGCTGGCTCATAAAGCAAAGATTGAGGACATCGAAGCCATCTAGTGAACAAAACTATTCTTAAAATTTATGATACTAGACATTCTGGTTCTAGTATTTAGTGTTAACTTATGATCAAAGCAACCAACCTAAATAGATCATAACTAAAAAATAAGCCTCTAATGAACACAGAAAATCTAGCATACCGTTTTGACTTTAGTAGAGTGTTTACAATACTTTGATTCATTAGGTAATTAATCCTTTCTATTAGCAATATTTTTGTCATTCTAAAACAAACATAAAATGAAAAGAAGAATTCATAATGGCAAACTAAAATGGCAAATACATAAAAGGTAGACTTAATTTTTTAATAATTATGATAATAATTTACCTTCATTTATGTATAAAATTTTTATATTCAATAAGTTCAGTTTTATTAACTTAACAATAAATTATATGCACAGAATGATTTCAAAAACAAAAATTGAATATTTTACATACGATTTCAACTGAAAAGGAAATAATTACAAAAATTACCTACAAAGTTCTGTGAATCTGTGATTACCTTAAATAGCTAATGTATTCACTTATACACAATACCTGTAGAAACTAAGCCGTGGTTAGTGTAAATAGTTAGTTCAAACACACCTGTAGAAACTAAGCTGTGGTTAGTGTAAATAGTTAGTTCATACACAACACCTGTAGAAACTAAGCTGTGGTTAGTGTAAATAGTTAGTTCATACAATTGTTGGCCTATAATAATGTACATAATCTCTTTCTGACACCAAACAAACAAATTTTCTTTTCGAACTACAATTTCTAGATAAGATATGTTCAATAAAATTTGATGTCATCCTTAATTACGAACTGACAGACTGGCAGGTAGTCAACAGCACCCACTGCTAACTCTCTTATCAAACTCGTTAGTTGGATTTCCACATCAACCTTATAGTATACACAATTTTTGTGGCAATGAGACATAAAGCACAATCCTCAGATTCACAGCCCTAGTATTTGGGTGTGTTTCCCAGAGTTTAGAATGCTCTGACTGTGAATCCAAGCATTCATTATCCACGACCTGGTCAGCTCTTGTGGGTCATGAGAGTGGTGGTCAAATCCCACAATTTTATCACATGAAAGTAACCTTATAATGGTTTGTGTATGTAGTACTGTTGACTAGCTACCTTGAGATTTTTATTAAATACAATCAAGAAGAGGTAACAGCTTACAGAAATAACTTCTGTGACAATTCTCCGCTGACTAACTCCTGAGCAAATGTTAGACTAGCTGGAGTGATAGAATTTTCAGGTTTCTGGAAAATTAATAAAAACTGAAGTCATATATATATAGTACAGAACTGTCAGAGGCAGATTTTAAACTGTAAAAACATCACAAAACATTAGTTTCAGTAAATAATTTTCTAAAGTGACATCTAAATAATGTAAAATTATTCAATAATTATGTTTTATAATTTCTTGGAGAACCAATTTTGTAATAATTAAAAAAAACTAGTTATTCTGAAAATGGAAATGCTTGTAATTGTTTTGTTGTTGTAAGTTTTTTATTCATCAAGACCATTAAAAATTCGAACGATAGCTTATGATGGTGTTACTGAACATTCTTCATGTTATTAATCCAATCTGCCATAAACAAATACCTGAATAATAAATTTTCTTTAAACTATGAAATTGAAACTATTATTCATGAAACAAACAATTTAGAGAAAATTACGTTAAAAAAGGGAATAAAAATGCAAACTAAAAATGTTACTTTTTTTCAGTCTTTTTTTTTTCTATTTTGATGATAGTTAAGTGTTGGTGTGCTATCAGAAAATTACTGTCATCCTTATACATGACAGAAAATTACTAGTTTAATGCCAATTATGCTGATGTATCTAAAAATAAAACAAAATTAAATTTGCTGAAAAGGACTCATATAGGTAAGAGGAAATACTCTTAGGTTTTACATAAACTATTCATACAACAACACGATACTTAGATAAAGGTTATTATTGCTTTGTATAAGTTTTATGTTAAGCCTCATTTCAAATAATGTTAATAATAGCTTTCATCTTTCATGGTTACAGGAAAGTTTTCAATCTAGTGGAAAGGATAAAAAACAGAGATACTTTATAACAATGATATTAAAATGTGTGAACTTTATTTCTAGAGAAAAAATCGGGACAATATGATCCAGACAGGACATGGTAAAACTAATAACTTAATAATTAGGGGTTTAAGTTTTCTTTTTCTTTTTGAAACTATAATATATTTATAAATTGTTTTTGGGTTCAACAAATAAAGTAATGTTTTAAAAATGCCAAACATTATGTGACCAAAAAAAAATCACATTTTATTATAAAAAAACTTTTTTACCTTGATTCTTTATATAATGAACGTCATATCAGTTTAAAAACTGGAAAATTGATACAAATGTAATATCAAAAAGAAGATAAACACTTAGATAAACACAAGAACTATGGTCATTAAGATTCCCGTAGAAATTATACAAAGAAATTATACTCTTTCACTGTCTCCAAATAAACCGAAAATTCATGCTGGAAGATCTATGTTCCGAAATTAATCCAGTTATTAACTCAACTCACAAACACTGATATGTAAAAACTACAGGTTAGTGTTTTACTGTCTATCAGTACAACTTACACAAAAGTGATACAAATTACCAAACAAATGAGTTTTATTAACACAATATTAGTAACATAATTATCAAATGATTTGACAGAATCACTGTTAAGTTCCAATACTTATCTTACCTGGCTACAGTTTTCTAATTTTCTCACTCTATACTCCTCCTGGTAATGCTGGTAAATAGTACTTATATAACTGGCAATAACAGCCTGTATAAAGATATAAAAACAAACATCATCTTTCATAGGTATATCTAACATTTGTTAAACAATAATTATTAAAATCAAGAAAATAAAATTGAAATCAGTTTAGTAATTTTTGGTAAATAATAATGAGAACAGTATTTCTAATTTTAAATCCCTTATGATGTCACAAAACATTTCTTGTAATAAAAAGTTCAATATTTACTTATCTTAATTTCCTTCAAGGATCTTTAAACTTTAAGATCTTTGACCACTTTGAGAATATCCTTTGTCAAACAGGCTCAAGGATTTAAACTAGGTTCAAAATTAATGTCACTCAGAAGAGTCAAAGTGTTTCTGTGGTCTAAGTTTCTATTTTTGTGTGTGTGTGTTACATTTAAAACTACAAATAAATTAAAAATTATCTGATTTCAAACAATAACACTAGCAAGCAGGTACACACATGTAGTTAAACTTAAGACACGTGTATAAACATGAAACATAAGTACAAATAAACACCAACTATTTCAGGAAATGTAGCTTTTATTTATTTCTAACTTATTCTTACACATTTTTGAACTGTTGTAAGAAGACAGAAACTATCATCTAAGATGGTTTGAATAATTTCTATATTAGAGTAATACTAAAAAATAGATTATTTCTTAAAGTTATAACACATGGTTTGTAAACACTTCAACTCCTTACTCACGTTGAAGTTTTCCTGGATAGCTGCAGTTTCTGGTAGGTATTTCATCAAATTCCAACACATTTCGACAATAGGCTAAACAGCGAGAGGAAAACAACAACAAAAACTATATCTTGGTTACATAAAACATTGCAATCACAGCGATGATTAATAACAGAAATACGACAATGAAATTTATTATTTTTCTTCTTAATATAAACTAGCCACGGAAATAAAATACAGCTACAAAGCCTGCTTTAACACACTGTATCAAGGTGGAAGAGTCTGTCAAAGTATACATGCCACAAACGTTTACAGTTCCATTCAAAAGTTAAAACAACTATTTTTTTAGTAATACATGTGAATAAACTAGACATAAAAATGTAGTTTATTATTTAACTTTTTAAATTATCTACACTTTCATTTCTTAATTTCAAAAGTAAATATTTAAAGAACATGTCACTTTCTTGTGCACTCTGAATTCTCTTTTTTATATTTTCTTCCTTTTAATGGGTTTCAGTGTCCAACAAATAGATACACCAACTACGGTTATTGACAGGCCAGAAGGTAAAATAAAAGCTTCCCACCTTTTTATTTACAACAGAAGCTCCTCCTACTTCTTCGTGCTTTTCCCCCACCCTGAACCTTTTCAATATTTTAAGTGTTCTATACAAACCTCAGGTAATATGAATGACATACAGGGGTCCACCCATACGGCTTCATCACTAAATTCACCGATATCAATAAGACGTAGTAAGTCTCTCTTAAGCTTCATCACTTGACTGCTAATGTTGCTGTCCAGTGACAAAACCTGTGTTGTATCAATAAAAACCAAGAGACAGAAAACACAGTTTTATTTAAAAACATAAAGATCATAATTACTACAAACTTTAAATCTTACTTAAACTTACAAATTAAGAACAAAGTTTTCAACTATGAAATGTTTTATGAACAAAAAAACACTCCAGTGGACCATTTGGTGGAAGGAATATGTATTTAAGAAATTATAAAGTTTCTTAACTCTTACAACTACTTGTTAGTTTTGAACATAAAATACAAATTTATCACATTTTAATATTTTATGCATTTAAATTAAAATAAACATATGTCAAAATATCTTATTGTGTGTGTGTATATTTATATATATGTATCTGTTACCTCAGTAACAGCTTTAACAAACTCCAGGGGAGGATTTGTAAGTTTTAAATAGGATCCAGGTAAGGTGGGAAATACACTTTCTTCTTCTGGTCCTAACACACCTGACGGGAGTTTCCGATGAATCTTTTGAGTGATCCTAGTTGTAAAAAAGATTTGTTTTTATGAGCATTTACAACCAGCGATAAGGGAGAACTGATTTGTTGAATTACAAAACACAACATCAATAATACTGGTATCTAAATAATAACTATTATTTTAGTCATTGTGATCAGTAGGCTTTTTTTTCTTATTAATTAGCTTCTAATTAATCAACAGTTTTCATTTTATTCCAATAAAATAAAGATCAAACACCTGACTACCCTCTATCCCTCATCAATGCAATATATTTTCTTACGTTTCTACAAACACAGCTAAAACAAAATACACATAACATTGTTTTTACACGACATTAATTTATAAATGTTACAGAACAATAGCATTTTCATTTTGTTTTAGCATTAGCATTTCTTATTAGCATTAGAGAAAAGACAATACCCCCCTTTCAAGGAAGAAATTATAATTATTGAAAACAACAATTACATATATGATTATATCCAAATTTTAAGAACTATAACTCCGTGAAAAAGAAACCTTTTGTAATGTTGTAAATTTCATATACAAATCCACTAGCTCTTCATAAAAATTCAGTACAGCACGAGTTAAATAACTTAAAGAATTATCTTTACTCAGGATGCTCCTTTATTTTAATTTGGTTAATTTCTTTAATTTAAAATTATAGTTATTGTGCAGAAACCAAATTTCAAATTCTTGAAATTTCACCACGATCTATTAATCCCCAAATAAAAAGGGTTCTTCCTCAATCCCAACGTAAGTGACCTGTTAAGTTCAATTAAAATCAGCTGATTAGATCTGTAGTTATCACAGAGAAAGATGTATACAGATTTATGAATATTATCATTATATCCCCCACCCCTAACCTAACCTAACCTTTAAAGTGACCTGTGAAGTTTGATTAAGATATTTAGGGAAGATCCTGGTCAAGTAAATAAAATATAAGATTCTATCAAATACCGACCACTACCATCATAAACACAGTTCTTCTCAGAACTTCCCTGAAGATGGCAGCAGATTAGCAGATAAAAAAACAGAATATAAACTAGTTAGGAATTAATGTCTAGTCATATATAAATAAAAAAATAACGAACTGATAACGAGACTTAGGTGACTGTACAAGCTACTAACCATGACAACGATTAATACCTGATCACCACAACTTTACTGTAAATATATTTTATTAACCCATGGAGTTCTTCATCACATTCTGTTATGTTTACAGATCAAACTCTGCCCTGAAAGAAGCTCGACGAATGAGTGGATGAAGTCTACTGAAATCTTTGAAATGAATTCCTCATAGTTAATTGAAAACAACAAAACAAGTATCCCATATCTACAGAAATGTTCATAAAAAATTGTTTAACAACTTACATTCCACTTGTGTTGATGGCTTGAAATGGATCTTTACAAAGATCGATGTCTCACAGTTAATTGAAAACAACAAAACAAGTATCCCATATCTACAGAAATGTTCATAAAAAATTGTTTAACAACTTACATTCCACTTGTGTTGATGGCTTGAAATGGATCTTTACAAAGATCGATGTCTCGACAATGATTACAAACATTGCAGATTACCTGTAAAATATTGTTACCGATCAGGATTCTGAAAACTGTCAATGTTTTTTATGTAAACAGAAGATAATATTAAATAAATATATTTAAAAACAAATTCACTAGAAGGAAATAAGGATTAATATAATATGTAGTTGATGAAGTCAAACACACACTAGAAAACTATTAATAACGTACATAACTGTTCACCTTAGTAAATTACTTTTAACATATCATCTTAAGTAACTTATAAAGATTTTGTATCTACAGCCGAGTTCTGTGATACAAATGTGACTGATTCCACTTAATTGCTATGAAAGAACACGACTGTTTACAGTTGATTTATATGGAACAATCTGATTGTTTACATCTGAAAACAGATGAGTAAGATATAATGCCACGCTCTTGCTAAAAGAACCAATTCAAGAAGTGATTTTGTATTTGGAAAAGGTTTGAACAAAAAACTTGCATATGAATTTAACCAGCTAATTTGTGATTAAGATAACCAACATATTTATAAAATTGCAGAAAACAAAACAAAAAACAGCCACCAAAAGAAATGTTGAATTTGTTTGTGTTGATAATTACAGTGGTTGTATGAAGGGGTACATATTTTATGTATACTTTTTTTTTTGCATAGAAACCAAATTTCTGTTTTTAAAGTGGTGACCATAGCAATAATTCTTCTCTGGCTCAAAAGGGCATGAACCATATACTAGAAAAAGCATTCTACATCTAACTAATAATACACTCAGTCAACTTGCACAAAAGTAAGCAAAACTTGGATACCTGTATTCAGTGTTATCAACTCAGCCAGGATCTTACCTATTAAATAGTTGAATGCTTTCCAGAAAGGTGTTCAGTTATTGCCAACTTCTATGATACATTGACTGTATGTGTTATCAGTTAGGGATAAGTAGATGATTGTTTTATCTATTTTTTCTCATGCGTTATACATATCCCATAATTTTAGGATTATTCCAATTTATTGTATGGTTATTAAAGATAGATCGGCCTTATCTAGTTCTGTTAGGCTTCTGGTCTGTTTGTTTCTCCAAGTTAATGCAGGCCACATTAATAAAGAATGTTATAAATGGTGTTTTTTGTGGATCATTAGGTGGTTTGGTGTGTATTGCAACTTTGGAGAAGACCATCAAATAAAATGGACAATAAAAATTAAAACAGGAAAAAAAGATAAAATCCTGTCCTTGATGTTTTTCACAGTTTAAATGAAAAGTGAAATATTATTCAATTTAATGAAAAAAAAAAGTTGTTCAGAGAAATATTGAAACCACAGTTGTCAGCCATTTCCCCTAATGTTTTTTAAACTTACAAAGTAAATATAACATTATCAAATATAAAAATAGAAGAAAAAAATGTATGAAATGATACAGTAGTATTGATTAGTGTACATTTATATAATAGTTTTTATTCTTCCATACTAGAAATCAATAAAACATTTTCAGATAAGTGCTTATGTTGTTTTTTCATTCAATTCTACATAAAAATAAAATATACATTTACCATTCTACATTTAGAACACTGCAAGTCTTGCAGGACATAAGCCATAGACTTTCTCTGAATATAGTCGAGAAGCATCGATTCAATCTCACAGGTGTTGTACGGGGCTTTACAAGAGGCACAATGCCACAAATAACTGAAATTTAAAAATGAAGACGTATAATTTCAGCAGATGATAAGAATTATTATTATTTTTTAATACGTTAAAAATTCTACGTTTTTATTCCCAATGAAAAACAGACTTGAACCTAAAAAAAAAGATAAAGCACTGATTGTTGCAAATTTCATTTAATATCCAAACTTACCATAATTGTTTGTTTGTAATTAAACACAAAGCTACACAATGGGCTATCTGTGCTCGGCCCACCATGGGTATCAAAACCTGGATTCTAGCGTTGTAAGTCCGCAGACATATCGATGTGCCACTGGGGACCAACTTACCATAAACAAGATATTAATCACTGTCCTGGTTATTAGTCTAAATTAAATCTAATTTCTACTAAGTACAATTTGTTTTGTATGTTTTTTTTTACTAGACACTAACTACAAATTAATTTATATCTCATGTTTCAGTTGCTAATCTTCATGGACATCCTAAGAAGGACTGTTAGTGGTGGTAGTGGCCAGGATTCAATCTTGGGTCCTCTTGATGGACAACCTAATTATTACTGCTACTATTCTTAACACTAGCTGTGATAAAATTGTTTGTGACACATTTTTGCATCGATAAAAAAACAAGTTTTATTATTGTTTTATACGTAAAAGTTTGTTATGTTAAAACAAGAATTTTTGTTTGTTAGATCAAAGAGAACAATATGGGAAAACATTGCGATTGTGCCGGTAACTTTCAGACCTTGCTGCCACTGAAAGATCTAGAAGACCAGATGAAAACCTTCCATAACATTGCACGGTATTGATTAGCCAGTTTAAAATTAAACATAATTATTATAAAAATTATGTAGGTCACAAAAACTTGGTCTAGCCCTTCTTTCATTT